AATTTTGGAGACTTTTATGTTCTCATGACTAGTTCATAAATAAAATATAAAACTTAAAAAAATGCACACACACTTATAATTGCTGAATGAAAATACCAAGTGTAGAAGTGATTTATCACATGTTTTGCCAGCTCCTCATATTTCTTCAACACTTGACGTTTCAAAAACAAATTTTCTGGAAAATGTTTTGTCTTTTACACTTACCAGTTTTTGCAGATCAAGATGCTAATAAAAATAAGCAACTTGAGGAAATTTGATGAGTGTTATCATATTTGGAAATAGCTGGATTTCTAAGATCAAAAGTTTCATGCTTTGCTCTTAGCGACGTGACAGCACTTATGTGCAAATCCATTTGCTATGTTAAGATGGGCCATACCCATAAGTTCACCCGAATATAGACGTACCAAAAGTAACACTGATACAAATATATTGTAAAGAAATATAAAAATGATAGAAATATGAGGCTTAGGCTTAAATGTAAACAAAAACAAATGTGTGGCTTAATTAACTAAGAGCAAGTACTTCAGAGCCAGACAGGCATAAAACACTAGCATCATAGTATCATGTACTAGTGTACACTGGTGTTACATACTAGCACTATAGGGTTATTGCGAGGATTAAATGAGACTTAAAGGATTCAAGGAATGAGGTGCTAAAGATATTTTAGCCACTATTATTCTAGTATGAAGCAAAATAAACTAAATAAGCTCCTTCAAAGTCAGAGGGTTTTCATATTTTTGCGTTGATGAGTTTTGAACCCTGGCACTCATTTCCACGTGGGGAGGTGCTAGTTCACTATTCTTAACTTAAGGTTGTCTTGAATGGCTCTAAATCAGCAATTCAGTGTGGTTCATCACCTCCTGAGGTCCCAAAGACCTTTTCAGAGGGTCAACAAAGTAAGCACTATTTTCGTAATGATTGCAATGATAATAATTTTAATTGTATTAATAACAGGAAAGCTAATTTCATAATCTCATATTTCATTTCATAATTTTGTCTTAGTAGGCATAATACTAATTGGCTAATACTATTTTTTTCTCTGTGATGACACTGACATTGATAGTGCAAAAGGAATCGTGGATAACACCACTGACACATTAGCATGATTCATGGCAAAGGTACCAACGTGTGCTTAGGTAGACATGTTATGCTTCACTATTATGTGTTCACAAGAAGAAAAAAGCTAGTTTTATTTTAAAATGTGTCTGATGCAGCAGTCCTTTTATTAAATCCTGACCCTTGAGTACAAATCTTTTTAATATTCCACGTGATGAAATAGGAAGTACCCATAAAGCAATTCTGCTGCATACTTAAGTACATTGTTGTCTGGAGACAAAGCATTTGTACCACTCTTTGAGTTAGGAGTTAAAGTAGCCACATTTTTCATGGAATACCGTTTTTGCTCAAATGAATGACAGACTGTGGTATTCAGTTAGGTATTTAGCGGATATTTTCCCTGAACGCAGCAAGCCTGTCACTTCAAGGAAAACAACAAACATTATGGTTACCAATGATAAAATTAGAGCTTTCTAATAAGAATTTTGGAAAACTCATGTCCGCCTCAGCAACCTTGATACCTTGCCAATACTTAAACACTTTTCTGATGAGATCAGTGGTGATATTAATGAATGGGATTTTTAAATATATAGTATAATGACATGTGGCAATATCTGAAAGATCTACATAACTCAGTGAACCAATATTTTCCAAATAGTTGATATACACTGTTAAAAGAATCAATCATACGTGGATAAAAGATCCATTCAAAGTGAAAGAATGATCAATGGATTTTGTTGATACAATTTTAGAATCTACACTGCAACTACCCTTTAAGAAGCTATCACCTGTCAAGTTTTGATGTATTATCAAAGAAAAATATCTTCAACAATCAGAAAAGACTATTGAAATATTCCTTCTTTTCCCAACCACATTTTTGTGAGACCAGATTTTCTTCATAACAACCAAAGCAAAACATCACTACAATGAATGGAGAGGCAGATATAAAAATTCATTTTTTACTCTTAAGCCAAACACTAAAGAGATTTACAAAAATGTCATTCCTCTTGCTCATTTCTTTTTTTTCCCTCTTGCTCATTTCTTTAAACTTGGGGATATATTTTTCATTAAATACATCATGTTAACATGTAATTATAAATACGTTTTTCAGTTTTTAATTTTTAATATAGTATAGATCAATATCTAAACCTATATAAACTAAAGATTTTTGAAATCTTCAATGATTTTCAAGAGCGTAAAGAGGTTCTGAGACCAAATGTGTAAGAACCACTATTCTAAATATTTCTCCAAACTTGGACTGTCTCCTTTGACTATTCACAGGATGATAACAATCAGGGGCAGAACTGAGAAAATGATCACTTCCTAGTCAGGTTAGGCAAGGGAATATTATGAGGAAGGATCTTCAGAAATTAGAGTTAGGAAAAAAAAGAAAGAAAAAAAGAAATTAGAATTAGCATTTTAATAGTTCATTCCCATAGTATCAGGCAAGTCTAATAGAGTAGGACCATTGAGTTTAAGAAAGGCAAGACAAAGACTTTCGGGGAAAAGACAGGCTACAAATCTGCATCAAGGAAAGATAAATAGCTCAAGCTTCTTTTGATTAAGAATTCTGTTTGCTTTAGACTTGTACCCCTAATCTATTTATAGGAATAACTTCTTTCCTGATCAAAAAAGACAGATGGTATTTGTAACTGGATCTCACCATGGGCCCACAATTTCTACTCAAGAGGGCATAATAAAAAGTGTTGGACCAGTGCATTGTTGGAATGGTACCATGGTCAACTTTCAAAATTTAGCACTAAGGCTGAGGTGGGACCCCTCCACTATCTGTCTCCTTTTCCGTCAACAAGCAAACAAAGTCAGCCCTGAGGCTCAGGACCTTTGGGATCCTCACCTTCAGTCTGAGGGTAGAAAGTGATGTATGTACCTGAGTATTGTTTAGGCTCTGAATTTAATCAGGAGAAAAAAACCTTAAGAAATCATTTGACTCATTTCAGCCACTTGGTGTCCTGAAATTTTCATATCACCATGATGGAAAGAATTAAAGTATGGTCTAACTGAAAATTGGGTTGTTGTCCAAGAGGAGAAGGGAAGAACAGCGACCAATTCTAGCTTCACATGGGATTATTTCATAAAGTAGGAGACAGAATCACCATTAAGGTCAAAGCAAGGACTGGACTCACTCAGCAGACTCTTCAGTCCTTCCTTTGTTGCAGGAGGCTTTCCTGATAACACCTTGGATAATGACCCAGGCCATCTTGGTCACCAGTTATCACTTACCTTCCTCAAGACTTATATGTGAGGAAAGTAAAGAAAAACAATATCCGTGAACCCTGGAGTCAGCCTGCCTGGATCTGATCCTGTCTCTCTCAAGGCCTCAATTTTCTCCTCTGTAAAATGGGAAGAGTGATAGTACTGACTTTATAAGATTCTTGTGAGGATTACCTAAGAAAATGCCTATAAAGCACTTAACACAAAGACATGGCACTAACTAAGTGCCACGGAAGTTATTATTAGGGAGATTCTTTGCTTCGTATTCCCATCTGTGAGCTACGTTTTCCGTTATTTCTCAACATAACCGCTTTCTTTCGGGGCTGCTGAACTCTTGAGGCATCTGGTCCCTTATATTCCTGAGTCATCATCACTAAGATGCTGGGATTCTGAAGTCATCCTTTTTCCTACTGCTCTCTAGGGCTCCCTCTCCTGACTGCTTAGCTCTCGCGGGGGCTCAGACCCAAATTCCAGGACTACGAGTCTCTGTCGGGTTTGACCACTCTTCTTGGAGAAATGTCCCCAGTCCCCTTGGAGACCACCTAATAGGCAACTCCAAGACTCCATCAGACTCAGGGAAACGCCCCAGCATAGAAGCCGGAGCGAGGCAGGGGGCCCCGCGGGGCTCCGGGGTGAGGGCAGGCTGGGGGCGGGGCCGTGCCCCGAGGTGAGAGCGAGGCCACACCCCGAGGTGAGCGTAGTGGGGGCGGGGCCACACCCCAAGGTGAAGGCGAGGTCGGGGGCGTGGCCGCGCGGGGGTGGGGTTGTTGGGGGACGCGTGGACTGTTAGGGATGCGCCAGCCATCTCCACAGGCGGCGCGCGCAGCCGCCCCGGGGCGGGAGGCAGC